GATATCTTTCGTGTTTTAATAATAAACGTATTTTGCTTACTTGTATAGACTTTGCTTAGTATTTACACCATTATTAAAAGTTCAAAGCGCAAACGGTCGTGCTCAGAACACAGGAAGCTGGATCAAAAGATCAGAACACACGGAAGGGACTTTTATTTTGCTTCACAGTCCGTCTCGTGACGTCACATACATCATGGCTTCGTCCAGTGTTTTTAAAGCAGGTCTTTTCAATCACAAAGTTGCAATCGTGACGGGAGGCGGGACTGGGATAGGAAAATCTATTACTTCTGAGCTCTTACACTTAGGTATGCATTTACTGATTTTACTGATGGATTTGTCCTTGTATTTAGATCAGGACTGCATACGATAACGTAACACTCCAGTGAACTTTAGTCCAGATATCGAGCAACACAGCAATCGGCCAATAATTTATAAATATATATATATTCCTGATAATCTATCGCCAATTTAACCATTATCAATAGAGTGACCACCCGTCCCGCTTTGCGTTGTACTGCACAGCATTTTCACCCCTTGTCCCGCACGTCGCATATTGAGTAAATGTCCCGCATTTTCATCAGTCTATTGGTTTTTTAATTATCATATTAAGAAAACGTGCATACGTTCTTTTGCCTTTTTAAGAATGCATTTCCTACTTATTACTTTTGCTGCGTAGTTTTCTTTTCAGCACTTTTAGCATATATATATATATATATATATATATATATATATATATATATGCTAGGCTATATAGACCAGATATAGACTTTTACTGTCTATGGATATAGACCTTGTTCAGAGCAGCGCCATCACTTATATTTTTCCACAGCTCACATTTTCTTTTCTTTTTTAATTATCTACAGTAATTTCTTTGGAAAAATATATTTGCAATATTTCATCAGCAGAATTCAAAGCACGTTAAATAAAGTACAACCCACTGAAGAGATGTGTCTCTCACAGCCTTGTTTTTTTTATACAGTCTAGCTGTATGTGTGATAGATAGATAGATAGATAGATAGATAGATAGATAGATAGATAGATAGATAGATAGATAGATATATATACACAGTCTCATATATACACACAGTCTCAAATATCACCCATGTTGTAGGATGCAATGTTGTCATATCATCCAGAAAGCTTGAGCGTCTGCAGGCAGCAGCTGAAGAGCTGGCACAGAAGATCCCCTCATCCAGTCTGGCTAAAGTGACCCCTATACAGTGCAACATCCGGAATGAAGAAGAGGTGACAGTCTCATTAACCTGTTTTTATACATTGCCTTCATGCCACAGAGTTACTCTACAAAGAAAATGTAGGCTATTATGTAGCCTATCTCTCATTTTTGACAGGTGAAGAACCTGATGGCCTCCACCCTGAAGCTCCATGGGAGGATTGACTTTTTAGTGAATAATGGAGGTGGACAGTTTTCCAGCCCTGTGAACATGATGAGTGCAAAAGGCTGGAATGCTGTGATTGACACTAACCTCAACGGAACGTTCTTATGCTGCAAAGAAGGTTGGGAATGCGATGTGACGTGTAGCGCTATCGGCTTCACTCTTCAAAATAAGAGTTCCAAAAGAGGGTTTTCACAGCGTTGCAATGCTATGGAAGAACAGTGTTGGGTTCCCAAAAGAACCTTTCAGCAACCTGTTCTTAAAAAAACCCATTTGTGTGTGTGTAAAGAACATTTTAATAATCTAAGAAACCCCTTTTCACTACAAAGAACCTTTTGTGCACTAAAAAGGTTCCATGGATGTTGAAGGTTCTTTATGGAACCATACAGCAGAGGTCAATAAATAACCTTTATATTTAAGGGTGTATTTGTGATAGCATGTGTAAATTGTAAGCCTTATTTCTAACTAAATAATGAATTGACATGTTGACAATTTTCCAATTCAAATTTTGCTTTTGATTCGTAGCATACAACACCTGGATGAAAGATAATGGAGGTGTGATTGTAAACATCATTGCGGACATGTGGAAGGGTTTTCCTGGAATGGCGTGAGTTGGTAAAAATATTGGTTGATACAAATATTGTGTATTACTCTACATTTAATGGCTTGTTAAATATTCATCCTCTCATGGTAATGCATTTTGTCTCCTTTCAAAGCCATGTTTGAACTGCCAGACTCTTTTACGACAGGCACACAGGAGCGGCCCGTGCTGCAGTGGACAACCTGACCAAGAGCCTGGCCATTGAGTGGGCTGACAGTGGCATCCGGATCAACTCTGTGGCGCCGGTTAGTTGTGTGCCAGTTTGAAAACAATTGGAAAGCATACTGTATTTGCATAGTGTTGTCTAAAATCAGGTTAAATGGTTTGAATGATATTCGCGATTATTGATTTATCGGCTAATTGTGGTTATTTGATGTAATCGCAATTATTTGATAACAGCAATAATTGTTTAGATTTCAATCAAATTTGGCCAAAGAATATAAAAAAAACACTGTTGTAACGTACATATAGATAGTTAAAGGTCTTCCTTTATATGAAATTAAAAGTTGTGGGTTACAGCAGACTGCATTATACTATATTATATCATACATTTTCAAAGCATTAAAGAAAATCACATGTGCCTATTTTATTATAATTTGTATTACAATTTATGTTAAAGAATAATGTATTAGATTTACACTGTAAGTGACATGAACAAAACGTAAAAATTAAATCATTATTATTTGTATGGCATTTAATCGTCAGCACAAAATACACGACTGACACAGGCGAATTATATGTGGGGAAAAAAGCTTTGCCTGAAAAAGTTTCCATAGTATTATCACGGCCTCATAAGTTTTTACTAAATAACATGTTTTTATTATATTTAATGCAATTCCAATTCAACTGCAATATACACTCCTAAGTGAACTGTCTTTTATCACAGAGACAGTGTGTGAATTTTTTAATGTTTATGTTTTTGTGTTTCTTGACAGGGAACTATCATATCAAAAACTGCAATGGAAAACTACAAAGAATATGGTCCTACTTTGTTTAAGATGTCAGTGCCATCAAGTCCCGCTAAAAGACTTGGTGTTCCTGAGGAGGTATCTTATAATCTTTCATGATGTTGACATTTTGAAATAGCATAAACTATTCGAAGATCAGAACATAATTACTTTTAATGTGGCCAGCTTAAGGCACACCTGTACAATAATCATATTGTCTGATCAGCATCTTGATATGCCACACCTGTGAGGTGGAAGGATTATCTCAGCAAAGGAGAAGTGCTCACTAACACAGAAAAAATATTTGAGAGAAATAGGCCTATTGTGTACATAGATAAAGTCTTAGATATTTTAGTTTAACTCATGGAAAATGGGGGCAAATACAAAAGTGTTGGGTTTATAATTTTGTTCAGTGTGTGTGTAAATTAGTGTTTAAATAATCTGAGATTGAAATAAAATGTCTGTTCTGCTCAGATCCTTAATCTTTAATATGGATAATAATATATAAAATATGTAAATATTTCTATCAGATATCACCAGCTGTATGTTTCTTGCTGTCTCCGGCTGCCAGCTACATTTCTGGAGCGACCCTGAAGGTTGATGCAGGACAGAGCCTATACCACTCTTTGTGGGAAATCCCAGGTACCCATATTTGAGCCGGATGAGAGCATAACGCATACTGTATTTGTTTAGAAATCAAGGACGGATGTTGACTCACTATGAGTAAGCAAATGCTTTCTGTTTCTGTTTGTGTCTCTCTGATCAGACCACAGTGCCTGGCCTCCAGCCCCAGATGGAGAAAATACAGACATACTGATAGAAATCATGAAAATGACCAAATCCAAGCTGTGAATCGTAACAAAACAAGTCTAGACGGTCAAACAGCTGCTCTTCATCCAGCGTGGGTGGCGCTCATGTGTTTTTTTCTTTGCTAGGAATTGTAACGCGTCTCGACTGTGGCTTTTGAGTGATGCTCACTGAATTTTAGCATTGTCATTGCATAACTAATAGTTCTTGATTAACTGTGCTTAATCAAGATAAATATGTGTAATAATATGATATTGTGAATATAACATTTGTAATTGTGAGATTTTCTAAAAAGTATCAATTTTCACCGTGAGATTACAAATATGTAATGAATCGTTTAAGAAAATAAATTTTCTTTTGAAACAACTTTTAAACGATTGCATCAGTTTGTTGGTTCATTTCTGATATAAAGTATAGCTTTTTATCTGAGTAATAGTAAAACAACAAAAACTTTCAAAATTATGCTAGTAGATACTTATATTTTATTAAATATAGTTATTTACAGTATTGTAAGTAAATGAACAGTACTATGGAAGTAAAATAATGTCAAATGTTTTTGAAACAAAAAGCATGTTGAATTGCACCAACTGAAAAAAAAAAAATGCATTATGTTAACCATGCTTGTATTTAATCCATTGTATTTTTAAGGCTTGCATTTTTATGGGCTGAAATTCAACATGGTTTGATATTTAAGCTGTGAATATTTCGATTAAAAACATTTCAAACACATTTTCGTTGTTAAAAAATTCAATAATCCATATTCATCTTTCATATTTCACTTTCAAAATATTCAAACTATTTAAAAATACAAAGTAAAAATAATGTCAAATGTTTTTGAAACAAAAAGCATGTCGAATTGCACCAACTGAAAAAAATGCATTATGTTAACCATGGTTGTGTTCCCAAAAACATATTTTGATTTTTATTAGAAAAAGTAAAATTAGCAAAATATAGAATATACTTTAAATGGCCAGGTTAGCAAACATTTTGACAAGAGTGCAATTATCCAGACATGGTACTGTCGTGTTGTACTTTTTGCTAGTGTTTCAACCAAATAAAAAAATAGCAGTTATTAAATGTATTATTTTTTTAAGTTCATTGTCAGGCGGAATGAATGATTAATCGGTTAAGTTGGCATCTTACTCGGAACATATTTAAAAATTGAGGCTCCTACAGAGTGCCGGTTGCTAGGCAGAGCGCCGCAAAACGCGAGCATGCGCACTGAGCGCTGAGCGCACGCCGCTGATTGGCTAAACAATGGCATTAGCTGTGTGAGGGGGGTTGCGTTGTCCTCGGTGTGGCACTGTCCGAAAAAAATAATAATAATAAGCCAACTCCACAATGTTACACATGGTGAGTCACCCGAATGAGAACATATTAATCAAGTGACATCTACAGGCATTTGTTTGAGAATTTATTTAAGGTAAGAACCGTGTATTATCACTTCAGTATTGTGTAAATCAGAAACAGATAGGAAGCGTGTGGTGTGACTTGATATAAACAGTAACATGTCCTAAAATGCGATGTAATGCAAATGCAAAGCAACCACAGAGTAACATGAAATAACAGCAGGCTGTTGTGATATTTTTTTTCCTCTCATACTAGAAGGGAGCATCTTTAAAGGGTGATTGACACACAAAGCAGGTGTGTCCAGCTGCACACTGACATCATACAGGAATTTTGTACATAGTCATGATGAGCGAAGGGGCATCTGGAGACACCACTGGTTTGGAGCTGGATGGAGTGATTGGGACAGAGGAGACCCCAGTGAACACGCTTCACAGATCAGCAGAGGAGGAGGGAACCACCACTCGGAGGAAGAAGAAGAAGAAAAAGAAAGAGATCATCTACCGCTCTGACCTGGAGGATGATGACGCTGGGGAGGGGACCTCTGCGAATGTGGATGGAACCTTTGGTCCTCCACCTGACGAAGGTGAAAATATGATATCTGCGGGCGAACTGTTTGTGCAAGTACAGTGAAATTCGTCATTTGTTTGTATGCTGTAATGGGTTAAAATAGATGATGGTAACGTGTGGTTTCTATACAGAAATAGACCAGATTGAGACCATGAGTAATTGTCCTCATTTTAAATATTACATTATTTTATACTCGATGATCATTTGATGTCAATTATCTATATTGTTCTACAATTTATTTTTCCCCGGACAGATCAGAAAGGCTTGCAATGTCAGGGAATTATATATTTGTGATTAGCACGTTGGAATATGTAGAAAGATTGGTAGTATAAAAATGTACAATTTAAAAGTTTTGGGTCTGCTAATAGCATGCATTTTTGAAAGTCTAAATAAATAGCATGCATTTTTGAAAGACTAAATTAATAAATAAATAAAAAATCTTACTGATTCCAACCTTTTGAACAATCAAAAACGATAAGCAGTTATTTTTTCCCCCTACATTTTAAGTACATTTTGTTTACAGAATATAAATGTAATATATTATTAGTTTTGGGTCTGCTAATAGCATGCATTTTTGAAAGACTAAATTTTATTTTTATTTTATTTATTTGTTTATTTCGAGCAATATGTAATACGAGCAATACACATGACAAGGCAATACGAAGCATTTTGGTTAGTCTGTACAAGCCTTTAAATTCATCATATTTATATCAACTTTAACAAAACCTAAATCTATTGCTCGAAACGGAGTGGATAGAAGTCAAACTTATTTATTTAAATAAATAAATAAAAAATCTTACTGATCCCAACCTTTTGAACAGTCAAAAATTATAAGCAGTTAATATATATTCAGTTTTTTTCTACATTTTAAGTACATTTTGTTTACAGAATTTAACTGTAATATATTATTAGTTATGAAATAAATGCTTGGTTTCTGTAATTAGTAACTAGTGAGTTAATTTAATTCAAGGCACGGTATTCGTGTCTGCTGACATGGACTGTATCCCATATCCCAGTGTTTTTCTTGTAATGCATTTCCTCTTTTCTTTCCCACTCAACAGATTTATTTATACGTATGAGTTGTTAAAGTAATATTCTCCTCAAAATTTATCTTACATTCACAGAAGAAGAGGATATCCCCGCTGACAGCCGTTTCGTGACCCTGACTGGCACCATCACGAGAGGAAAGCGGAAAGGCCAAATGGTGGACATCTATATGACCCTTACCGACAAAGAGCTGAGAGATATGGCACGATCCAAAGAGCGTTTAGATGCAGAATGTGACGGGCTAGAGGAAGCCAAGCAAAAACCCTGCGCGCTGGGGGTCAGCCAGGGCCCTCATGTTCTTCTCTGGAGCCTTTCCTGCTCCCCGTTCGTCTTCCTTCTCTCTTTCATCACGTCGTTTTACTACGGAACGCTCACCTGGTACAACGTCTTCCTGGTTTACAATGAGGAACGCAGCTTTCTGCACAAGATCACGGTGTGTCCCTTGCTTATTCTGTTATATCCGGTACTGATCATGGCGTTGTCTCTTTGTATGGGTGTGTACGCCGCCGTGACCCAGCTCTCCTGGGTGTTTGGGGAATGGTGGCTGGCAGTGAGGGACCTGGAGAAGGGCTTCTGTGGGTGGATGTGTGGAAAGATGGGGTTGGAGGACTGCGCCCCGTACAATGTGGTTGAGCTGCTCGACTCTGACACTCTCTCCGGGACCCTCCGGGGGAAGAGGCTCGATGACGTTGAACACACTTCTACTTTGTGAACGCAAAAACATGGAATAACGTTCTGGGTTTAATTTTAATTAAGCTCTGTCAACAGCATCTGTAGCATGCTGTCAATTTAAAAACTTTTTTTTACTTATTTGGCTCAGGAAAAACAAACTTAAGAACAAGTCAAAATGATTTTCGTTAGCTTTTAACTTCTTTTTTTTTTTAATCCTGAGCCCTCATTTAAATGGATAGATCACCAAAAAAAGAAAATTCTGTCATTTTCTCACCCTCACGTTGTTGCAAAACGGACTTTCTTTTGTTCTGTGTTATATAAAAGAAAATATTATTTTGTTCCTATTGACATCATATGGACAGAAAATATTGAAACATTTATCAAAAAAAATATGTTCCACAGGAGAAAGAATGCCACAGTTATGAAAAATAAATACATTCAAAATAGCATAAATGTGCCCAAAACGGCCACTATGGTAAGTCTGTGAAAATTATTTATATTCATAGCTTTCAAGTTTGATTTGGCTGAAAATTCCAAGCATCCTAATTATATCCTTGCATGTTTACATAGAAAAACGTTTTATTGGCAGATATGCTTCTCACATTTTTCTACTGTACATATTTTTAAGATAATATGTATATGCCTTGTTTGAACAATCTTACTGTCAGTGATCATAATCAAGTCAGATTTGCTCTATGGTTGTCAAAGGCAACTTTAGCTATAGCCTATATCAAACCATCAGATTCATCTGAGCAGAAGAGTGGAGCTGATGGAACTGATGGAAAATAAATAAAAGTGCAAGTTACTTGCAGAGGAACATTGTTTTTGTTTTCAACCATAGATTTCTATAGAGAGCTATGGTACGGTAAATTAATACATCCGTGAATAAATTGTAGCATTTCGAGATCAAAGTTGAAATATTTCGAGAATAAAGTCGTACATAGAAGTTCTTATTGATCTGCTTCTGCTTTTGATCTAAATATAATTGTAGCTTCTTTATCTTGGCTTCTAACAAAAGGAAATTCTACAGGTGCTAATCTTACAACATGGCATTACCATTTGTTTTAGGACGCCTAGACATGCACAAAGGCTAAATATTTAGCGTAATTTTAACTTTATCCTTAAAATATTACGACTTTATTCTTGAAATGTTTAGACTTTATTCTCTGAATATGTAAAAAAAAAAAATGACGTTGTGGTTCAGGGCTTCCGTAGAAGTATTAGAAGTATTTACCATTGTCGTGCATTATACGCATTGCACAGCTGAAAAGCAGAAAACGTTTCTTCTCTAACGATTTTCTCAAGCTATCTGACCAATACTTGCACTTGAACCAGACACTAAACAACATTTTACACTCTAAGCAGACAAATGCTTTTACACTTCTTAATATGTTCAAAATCACATAACTGTTGTGTTAGTGTTTGAAACTGTGTGGTGCTTTGTGTTTTTACAGATGTAACAACAATGGTGCTCACCAAGGATATCAGCCATTAAAAACCATAAACTGGTTTACACGCATTAAGGATAATGGTTCTGTTGTCCCAGAAGATCATGTTACGTTTTCAAAAACCTTTTAGCAGAAAATTCACTGATCAATGGGCACACCTACTTCAAATGGTGTCAATTATAGTACTCATATCCTCTTCATATACAGTACAGTCGGCATTTACAACTTTATCTGTTGTTTATGGTGGCACGTATTGTAAAATAATTAAATGCAGGGTTCCCACGGTCATGGAAAATATCAGGAAATATCAGGATGTTAAAATTGTTCGAAAGTTCATGAGTATTAATAAAAAGCTATGAAGATTTTTTTTACTAGAAAATGCTCTTGTCTGATTTGTGAGTGAATTATTCTTTTGAGTCACAAATCTGAAAAATTATACATATATACAAACTCGTATCCCGTAAAAATGTGTGGGAACCCTGTACATTACAAAATATCTTACCAGAGATCTAATGCATATGATCTGCATAATTTGAAGTCTGTATATTCAGACAATGTACAATATGTAAAGACAATTTTGTTAAAAAGTTGAACATTTATATCTGAAATATTCAATCTGCTGGCTTTAAAATATGCAAGTGTTAGAAGCTCTCAAATTATACTCAATTAATTCTGCAAATAAGCAGGTTTGATGTAAACCACCTTTTTAATTATAATCATCAATAGATTCAAACTATTGGACAAGAGATTCTTGACTTTTTTTTATATATCTTTGGGAACTTTTCCAACTGCTATGCTGTAGGCTTCAATAAACACTCGGCATGCCGCTGATAAAAGACCTTGACCTGTTTTTTGCAGTTAGGCCAGCCTTAAAAATATTATAAAATGTTGTCTTCTGGCACAAAGTAGCCTGTTTTTCTGTAAACATGGTTTCAAAGCACAAACTCGTTTTTTTTTATATTATGACCTTGATAAATGTTTTGTTTTCACACTTGTGCGTGTGTACCACAGTAATTTAATTTTCAACACTTATAATAAAGGATTTTATCTCATTTGTTTCAGTTGTATAGTTTTCCTTTCAGACTTAGTCAAAGTTTTTGCAGATCTCACACATTATTAAAGGTGTGTGTGCCTCAGACAGTGCTCTATAATTACCAAACCTTAAAAAAAAATGTTTTTAGTCAACATTGTTGACTGTCAACAAGCATCCCTTATGACCATCCCAGATCTAATTCCATCAGTCTGTTACAGAATTAGCACTAATAAAGTGTAAGGAGAGAGAAATGAGTAATATAACCTCATCAGCTGATTGAAAAAAAAAAAAAAGACCAGAAACGAAAGTAGAGTCCTTGTTCGAGGGAGTGGTTTGGTAGGTCTGACTCTGTAATCTGAAAGAGGCTACTTTCGCTCTTAGGTTTTCTTTTCTGAGACGACGAGATGAAGCCACACGGCGTCAAAGGTATTGTCGTCAAAAACGATATGTCTTTCTTTATTTCTGTTCGTTGTAATTGTATGTTTTTTAATAGCTTAATACTTTATCATTTTAACTTTGTTTATTTATAGTTCCACACAATGCGTAGTTGCACACGTACCCGTTAAAGGCGACGTGAACAACATGGGTAACTAACGCTGGTTTATCGCTACATGCTAGTTTGTGCTTTTCGAGTGTAGTTCTATCTTATTTTAAAGGTGGTTGCCATTTAAACATTAGCTCCGCCCTTTAAAATGTGGTAAACTGACACGTATGCTCTAGCTCGCACTCAAGATGTCATTGTTCAAAACCATTATTTTTATTCGGATCGAATTCGATTGACCCTTTTTAATGATGACGAAAGAACAGTTCCAAAGAACCGAAATGCAGAAGTCTTCCGCCATATAATAGGCTAACCATTTAAAACACGCCAGAAATGTATGCGTGGGTTAAGACAGTGAGTGACTGAAGTAATGCGAATCGCTTTGGGAACGTAACCAACACCTCACGGGAATCCCCTTCAAAATAGTTTGGGGGGGGGCGGGGGGGTCGTTTTGTCCAAAATGCGGCGGAAAACCCCCCAAGTGGTCAATGCAAACCAACATGCAACTTAGCTACCACTGTTTCTTTATGTATATGTTTTGCAATTATTTAGTGTGGATATCCAGGTACTTTCTATTCTATCGAAGAAGGCATGATTTCATTTTGAGCTAACATCAACTCTTTGTTCCACCTTTCTTCTCTTCCTTTTCCTTTTCCTTTCATTGTCTCCAGGAGATAAGCCTCTCTGTAGGCATCACCACCAAAGCTTTTGGCCTTCAAATCTGTAAGTGCTTTGACACTTACAAGTGTAAATCCAAGTGGCCGTTGATTTCTACAAGAATGTGATGAATGAGGCTGCGGTGGATTTTTTTCCCCCTCTCTGTCAAGATAAATGCAATTTTCATTCAATTTCATCAAAAAACTAAAAATACAAATATTTTTTTCCACTGTTTTTCCGGACTTGATAAATAGATGTTTAAAATTGCCTACTCCCAGCTTTTAAAATGACCCAAACTATAACCTACAGCATATATACAGGCTCATGCAGTGAAATGGCGGATGGATTTACTATCATCGTTAACAATGTGACCGCAGATCTTAACAACGAGGAGTGTAGGATCCTCCGATACCTTTGTACAGATTTGTTCACCAATAGCTGTGTGGAAGATTTGAGAGGAGCTTTGCTGGCCTTTGCCAAACAGAGACAGAACCAAACGGGCCAATCTCAGGCTGGTGATGCCCTGCTGATGGAGCTCATGTTCCGAATGAAGCGCTTTGATGTCCTAAAGAAAGTTTTCGGCACCAACAGACAACAGGTAGAAAGAATTCTGCAGGAGGGAAGGGCCCTCTCAGATTACAGGTAATTTGTCATGTACATTTGTTTTTTCATGTCTGAAAATGCGTGTGGTAATGGAAAGTTTTATTTTAGAGCATGACCTTTATGTTATTTGTTATTATGTCATTTTTCCCCACCTGATTGCTGATCTCATTTCCACAGGGTTCTAATGGCAGATATGAATGAAAACCTGGACAAAGAGGAGTTACAATCTCTTATCTTTCTCCTGAACAGTATCCTACCCAAAGAAAGAATGGCTCGAGCTACCGTAAGACTGGATAAATTACACGTTTAACATTTAGAATGTTTGTACTAAAAAATAATTATACTCTGAACATAAATATGCATATGGCATGACAGTCCAAAAGTCTACCACTTTTCCGGGATTTGTTATATTCATGTTTGTCTCATTGCATTTGATTTCTAATAGAGCTTTCTAGATGTGGTGGTGGAGTTGGAGAAGTTAGATGAAGTTTCTTGTGATAAGCTAGAACTGCTTGAACATTGTTTGAAGAACCTTAAAAGAATGGACCTTGTCAAAAGGATTCAGGCCTACCAGAAAAGAGGTCAGTCATTTGTGAGGTCACTTTTCTTTTGTTTGTTTAGTTAACTTCTTGTCTGCTGAGAAAAATGCACTGCAAGGTTTATGCAACATTTGCTTACAGCTTTTGATTTGACTATATGCAAAACTTAAAGGGTAATTCCACCGGTGGAGATATGAATATGTATTGAAAATGGGTCATATATTTAGCAGAATGGTATCATAAATTTCTAATTTGGGTCCTTATTTTCTGATAAAAGGCAGAAAATGACTTTAGTGCTTGTGTATTGTAGACAACAATCCCCATAGTGCATTGCAATGCTCAGCTCCGCAGGCCAATTGGATTCTATATGGGCTTCAGACAATCGACACACTTACTCTGATGCGTAACTTTACATGTGAAGTGCAACCAAACCTTGGAGCGTTTTGTCTGCATGACCATTCAATAGTATGACTGGATTTCTAACAAAGGAAATCTTAATGCAAATGGTTGGAGTGTCCCTTTAATTCTGCTATAGAGAGCCTAAGTCCCTCCCCTTCCGGTCGACCACCATTGGACCTTATTTCGGAAAAATATTGTATGGTAGTCAATGGCGAGAGACAACAAATATTTTGATCTCGTTTGAATTGTGCCCTGAATTACACATTTGATGGTTGTCAATTTAAAAGATACATTTTAAAATCAAGAAAGTCGCAGTTTGATGTAAAATTGATAGGGCTGTGCAAAAGTTAATTGCGATTAATCGCATCCAAAATAAAAGTCTGTGTTTACATAATATATTTGTGTGTGCTGTATATAATTTATTTGTATATATAAATACCTATGCATGCATGTATATATTTAAGAATTGTTTGCGCTTAAATTCTGTATATATTTATAAATACATAATCTATATTGTATAAATATAAATATGTTATATATGAATAACACATTTTCTTAAATGTATACATGCATGTGTGTGTATTTATATATACAAAATAATTATATACAGCACACACAAATATATTATGTAAACACAGACTTTTTGTACCAGACTGCACATATACGAGCAATGGATATTGCTCGTCGTTTCGCTTCCTGGAAGATGTAGTTCATTGAGCGATCAACAAACATCATATGTGTAATTCAGGGCACAGTTTTTCTCGCCATTGACTACCATACATTTTTTTCCGAAATAAGGTCCCATGAGCTGGAAGCGGAGGGGAGGGACTTAGGCTCTCCATTGAAACGTGTGTTTAAAAAACACCATGTTGCCCTTAAGAACCTAGAACATTTTGTACATTATAACCATATTATAATGCTTCATTTTAGTCTCACAGTCTCAAAGTTCATTTTCAAAGCCAGAGTTTAAAAAATAAAATCATGGTTGAAATTTAGTTGATGTGTTTTTTTTTTTTTTATGGCTCTGGTTACCAAACTTGAGCGGTAAGTGCATTTAAACAATTTAATACATTAATAAAAATTTATTCAGGTCAGAATGTACAATGTGCAGTCCCAAAAGTTCAGAATTCCTTTAAGGTAAGACAATTTTAGAAAAAAAAAAAAAAGTCTCCAATAGGTCTAGTATGTTAAATGATGATAATTGTACTTACTATATCTCTATATTGCTCAATTTCAGTTCACACCTGGGAAGTGTCAGTCTTCTGTCAAACAAGTGAGACGATCACAATGCTGTTCTCAAGGTGAGATTATCATTTTCAGTCTTCATTTTTAGTTTTAATTAAGATCCTACGGATAAAATAACAGAATTGCTTTTGGTCTTTTTCTAGAGTTTAAAAATTTGAAGCTTTCGGTGCCAGAAACTGGTACACAACAACAACAGGTAATAAATCAGCTTCTCACTAATTAATAAATAGTCATCGTGGCAAAGCCTAGCATTTTTTTCTGATGGTTATTTTATTTATGAACAGGCTATAAGCTATTCCTCCCACTGTCTATATGTCTGCTAGGCTTTTGTGAAGGAGTATCAAATAAATCCTGAGCAGAGAGGCCTTTGTGTGATAATTGACTGTGTTGGCTTTGATGGAGGTAAGTGTGTGTGATGTAGGTTTTGACCCTTAATAATCACTATAGTGACATTTAATACTGAAAACATAATCTGTTTTTATCCCATTGGTTTGTTAGGGAAACTTTTTTGCAGAAAAAACACAATGACATAATGTTTACCCACAGGGGAAGGCTGTATTTTTGTATTTTTGTTTTTAAATCCCATTTTCCACCCACATTATTCTAAAGAAATTGCTGTTTTCATTGGGGTTTTGTTTTCACTTTTAATTACAAATTAGGAAATGTGCGAAAAGAAAAGACTTTTGTAGATCATTATAATGCGTTCTTGTGCAAAACATCTGCATTTAAACGTCTACGCTGTTTGTGTCCTTTCAGAGATGTTGAATCAGACATTTGAGCGTCTGGGTTTCAGCGTCATTTTCCATTCTCTCCTGGGTCTGAAAGAAACCTGGAAGGTCTTGGAAGACCTGACTCGTAACCGGAGCATTCAGAAGGTCAACCGCTTCGTCTGCTGCCTCATTAGCAGGGGAACGGACACTCATCTGTTGGCTACAGACTCGAACGGCCTGGGCATCAGGCTGGAGGATCTCAGGCAGCTTTTCAGCCCAAACCAGTGTCCTTCACTTGGTGGGAAACCCAAACTGTTCTTCACCCAGATCTACTGGACAACAGAAGCCCCTCCAACACCCTCAATGGATGATGAATACCTTGAGACGGATGGACCGAAATGCCATTCGGCTAGGCAGTGTGCGGACAAGAGGACTGTCCCGGTGTCAGCTGACGTCCTTTGGAGCGTGTGCACAGCAGAGGCGAAACTGCTGGAAGATTCTGCCCACCAGTCGATTTACCTGCATGCATTACACACTGCCTTATTAAGGGGGCATGAGAGGTACTTTATGGACCTTTTTTACTTGCTGTCTTAAAAGAGCCACTGTTTAGTCCTTTATTGCTTGTAACCAGACATTTAACACTGCAGTAACCGTAAAAATGAAAGAAAAACACCCCGTACATGATAAGATAAGATTTTCAATTCTGCTTTTGTAGAGAAAATCTATAATTCAAGTCCTCTTATTCTGTTTTTTCCCCTTAAATTTGCAGAAAGAGCCCTTTATTGGACATCATGACGGAGGTGAATAGAAACGTGTTTAGTCACAATCAGCAGAATCCTGATAAGAAGTATCATCTCCAACTCTCTCATACACTACGGGATACTCTTCACTTGTAACACGTAATGTGTGCTACACAACACATTCGGTCCCTTTCTCGCACAGACACTCTACTTGTTTTAGAATAGAATTGTTAGTGCACAAAATAGATGTACACCTAGCTGCATACTGCCGTAATCGATGTTCTCATTGTATGTTTTTATTAATTTATTAATATTTTTATTTATTTGTGAAACTTCATCACGGTTGCAGCTATTACTGTGTTCTGTTTCAGTCACAGTGCTAATGTCTCATTTAAACTAAGTGAAATACCTTCAGTCATTAGTCAAGCTAAATGAAGTTTATCTATAGCACTTCTCAAAATGCTTTGTCAGAGCAGCTGAAAATCATATACTATAAAGAAGAAAAGCACATGTGGCAAGTAAAAATGAGATCTTTTAGTTACTAAACTTGGCATGACAATTAATGTACATGTGATTAAATATAGTCATATCATATGTTGTAGTAATAATCATGTGATCATTGAATATATCTTTAATATGTATGACTTAAGACAGAATAGGCTGTCTCCTTATTAGTCACGCTAATTTTCATTAATTACAAAATTAGGAGTTCTGCATGGATAAACTGAACTACTGGTATTCCTAGAGAAACGTAGTTTAGCGTAGTAATTCTTAGTGTATCCTCTGTATATTTATAATATCCAATTAAACACCGAATATGAAGTTATTTAAACAAATATCTATTTCTCATTTAATCACTTGTCATATTTATGTAGCCTAATTTATAACCCCCTTTCTTATCACCTCAGAGATATAAGTAGCCTACTAACTGGTCTTGTGGAATTTCAGTAAAGGAACTAGATGATTTGTATTTGTAAACAATGAATGAACGGAATGTGAAAAAAGTGATTAAAATATAATTTGTTACGCTTGGCTGGAAAAAAAATAGTATTATGATTAATGTCATTAGCTCAATTTAAGAATACACTGACTTTGTGTTTTACTTGCGATTCTACAAATAAAAGACCAGATTTGATTACGTAGAATTTGAGGTTTGGTGTCTTGTCTTAATAATTTCATCACGTGAGCTTAACAAATCATTTGTCACCATCTACAATTATAATTGGATAGCTTAATATAATAAACATTCACTTCATAATACAATATAAATTTGAACAATGCATGCTGCAAAATATTGTTAAGAAAACTGAACTAAAGCTAGACAATTGAAAAATGAAATTCTAAATTTTAGCAGGCCTCTTCCCTCCACCAGGGGTCGCTTAAAGTAAGTTTTGAATTTTACTTTGCTTTCAGTGTTTTAGAAACTACATTTACAAATGAAGCTTTGTTCAACAGTTTAAAAAGATCTTGAGGTTTCACCTCTTGCACAACCAGAGCTTTCTGTCGAAATGAAACTTGGGCTTTACCCTTTTTCCAGTTTAAAGAAACGTGATATTAAAAATTTGAGTTTACAATTACACCACTAAATGTAACAACCCTTGCACAAACAGTTCTCAACTATGTAATGTTAGATAATAAGGCTCTATTCTTCTAGCCTATTTCGTTTGAGAAAAGAGCCTGAGGTTTCATAATAAATAACTTCACTGTGTTCATATTTTAGGATTTTATTTTTCCAGTTCAAGGAGTGATTTTTCACAAAGCAAGAGGCTACAAGTGCACAACAAAAATGTTCCTTTCATACAAAATTGATTGGTCGTTATCATTTAATTGAGCATAGGAGCAAAATTAACAAGAGAAAAATCTAGGGGGGAAAGATAACTGGAAAAAGTTTAGGCAATTCAGTTCAGATGAAAAATGCATTGGTGTTGATCATAAGTTGATGAAACATGGAAGATGAATACTTCAATTGAAATAAAAAAACAAACAAACAACGGTTATAAAATTAGACAAGCTTATACTTTAGTTTCACAGTCTTTAATGTGTATTATATTCAACATCTATCCTTCCTGATTAAGGTCCATTAAGAACTGCCTTAAGTAAATAAAAATTATACTCTATATGATATTGACTACAATTATAGGCACTGTAAGTAGAGGTTGGCGATATCAAAATGAAAGTATGTGAAACTAATATCGTAAGAAACAAAATATTTACACATGAAACTGCTTCAAAATATGAATGTGTGATCCCTGTTTACAAAACTGCAGCTTTAAAAAAAAAAAAAACCCAAAAAACCCTTTGGCTCAGTTGTCAGCCGATGGAAGTCAGTGAAACTGAAACGGTAGATGTAGAAAATGTTTGCTTTTATAAGCAAATACCACTTTTTTTTTATCCCCATACGATCAGTCTTCCTTCCTTTTCTGCGTTTTTCTACAGCAGCGTCT